GGGGAAGTCGAAAGGATTTCTCCGAGATATACTGTGGTGTTGGCTTGAAAGATGGCCACGGGAATGGTGGGCGAATAGCTCAGCGCAGCCAGGTACATAACTGATGGTAGCGAACGTAGGGTGATGCTCCTGCATCCCCCACAAACGGAAAAAAAGTTATTTCGGAACTCTTAGTGACGACTTTGTTGTTTCCGGCGTTATCCGGGTCGGCGAAACAAATGTCGTGCGCATGGGCCCGTGGGTCTGGAGTAGAGATCGTCCTCCTGTCGACCCGACCATGTGCCGACATTCGAGTACCCGGAGACGGTGACGTGCGATGACCGAAGCGGTAACTGGTGGCCGAGAGTGTGGGTGGTCGTGAAGTGGGTAANCTCTTAGTGACGACTTTGTTGTTTCCGGCGTTATCCGGCTCGGCGAAACAAATGTCGTGCGCATGGGCCCGTGGGTCTGGAGTAGAGATCGTCCTCCTGTCGACCCGACCATGTGCCGACATTCGAGCACCCCGAGTCGGTGACGTGCGATGACCGAAACGGTAACTGGTGGCCGAGAGTATGGGTGGTCGTGAAGTGGGTAACAGTGTTCCACTCTGGTCGGATCAGCCTCTCGGCGTCCCAGGCTCTGAGGAGTCCCGACTGATTCGCATCTAATTCTGAAAACACTCCCGAGTCGAAATACTCGGGAGGCGAAAACCTACTGAGAGAGTGAAAAACCCTCCAGAATGAGAGTAAATTCACTTTACATGGATGATTAGGCCGTGAGGCTTAATTTCCAGCCTGATATAGTGGCTGATGACGTTTGGCATAAGATACTCCTGGTGGACCTCGCCCACTCTACCGTGTCACACTGATGCTAGCTGGGCAACCCTTTGCCCGGCCACAGAAGTCCTCTGAGTGGACGAGTTTGCCTCAGAGGCTGGTTTTCGTCGAACCTCCCGGGAAGCTTCGGCTGGCGCCGGATTATAGAGCGATAAAGATGGCACAAAAAGTAGTTTGGATTTTTCCGGGGTGAACAACCCGGGAAAATATCCTTACACAGTCATCTCGAATTCTCTACTCAATTTATTTGTTACTTCATTCAATTTGTCTGAGTGATTACTCGCCATTAGTATATCGTCTACATATAGTAGCAAAATCAAAAATTTATTCCCTTCTCTCCAGGTAAACAAGCATGGTTCCAAGTCGGAGTTCGGTAATCCTAACTTTATGGCGGCTTCAGTAAATCTGTCATCGCACTTCTTAGGACTAATTCGTAATCCATACAAAGCTCTCTCTAATTTGCATACCTTTTCTCGTCTTGAGTCATTCGAATCATATGCTCCTTCTGGAATCTCCATGTAAATTTCCTCATCTATAATACCATTTAAAAATGCGGTTTTCACGTCTAATTGGCAAACTTCTAGATTGTATTTATTAATGCTAGATATCACTGCTTTGACAAATGGTAATCTAGACACAGGTGCATACGTTTCGCTCAACTCATAAATATTCTTGTCTTTGAAACCTCGAATGACTAATCTAGCTGTGTATCGAATTTTATTGTTCGGCTCTACCTTTCGTTTGAATACCCATCTTGAATCAATTACGGTAACCTTTTGACCGTTATTCATCTTCTCAGGCCTGTTAACAATTTTCCAGACGCGATTACTTTCCATCGATTTTAACTCGTCCTTAATGGCTTGTTGCTAACAATCTTTATCTTTCGATTGCATTGCTTCTTTGTAATTTACCGGATCATGATTTATATCTGCCAGACAAGCATATACGATTTCATCTTACGTTTCATTATTTTCATTTTTCAACACTTCAACCGATAATGCGTTTGTTTTAAGGTTTTCATCGATCGGTAAATTTGAAAAGCTAATATCCTCAATTGTTTTGTTGGCTTCTACTTTTCTCTTCTTTGATTTATCGTCAACAACGTCTGTTATCTCTTTTCTTGGTCTCCCACGCTTACGTTTGCTCTCTCCCTTCAGTTTTACATCTTCGTTTACCTGATTCTTCTCATCATTAAACTTCTGTTACTTCTGTTACTTCTGTTACTTCTGTCCTTCCATCTCAGCAGCAGCATCTGAAACTCGGAGGGCAAAAATGAGCAAATAACGACTTCATATCAATCCTAGAAATGTATCCAAATCAATGATTCATAATATCATCAAAATCTAAATCTCAATAAATGCAATAACCAAAATTCTGGAAATAAAATTAATCAAACATTATAAAATTTATAATAAATTAAAATTACACTAAATTAAATAGAACAAAAAATTATATAATACCGGAAAACGAACAGCGATGCCGAATTCTTCCGCCGGATGAAAAAATTCCACTCTGACACAGCAGTCCCAAAACTGCCGAATCTGCGCTCTTGCACCGGCCGAAGAATTCTGCTGACCTAAAACAGCGGAAACAAAAAATAGTATTTAAGACAGCACCACTCTATAAAAATTTGTTCAGTGGACACCTAAACTCCAAATAAACCACTTCTAATTTACCTCCCTAAATTTTCCTGAGATTGAGCAGAAACAATTGCCCATCTCTCTGAAAAACTTTAAAGGAATAGAGCGGTTACGATCGCCATATTCTGACTCTAATCCCTAATACACTTGAGAAATAGAGCGGATACGATCGCCCTATTTCTATTCCCCTTCTAACACCCTTGAGAACCGAGCAGACACGATTACCCACTCTCGAGGAATCCTTTCCTGAATACCCACGACTGGATCCATGACGAAGAAGGGGCATCGCGCCGGAAGGAAATATCAACTTGGGAAATTGGCCGCAATTCACCGCACCCCTCAACCAGTGGACCTCGATCGTCTCTTGTCCTCTCCTAGAAGACAGTTGGAGATATCCAAAACGATCGAATCGGTTCGGCTGATAATCAAACGAGGGAGTGACGGGAATTTTATAATAAAATGCAACTTACCTGGAGTCGAGAGAAATCTCTCCGTTTCGGTGTCAGAGTCGCCTCGCGGACCTTCCTTCGTGTCTACAACTGCTCAACTCCGAAGTGAGCCCATCTCCAAGGGATATTTCACAAGGGAATATCTGGAACGCAGAGAACAGCCCTCAGCACCTGTCATCACCACTCCACTCTTCAAGCCAATCCGGAGGTGGAGGGGACAGCTACGCATCACTCCGACGACTCAAAGATTTTTCGCTACTCTTCGAGAAAAATTGGCTCATTTAAGAGAGGGCTCAAAAGTTTAAGGTGAGTGAAGTTAAATTAGAGAAATCCCTCGAATCTATTTATTAGTTAAAGCAGCATTATAACGTACCTTAAATCCGGGACGTAACACTTCACAATCCACCTTTCCTTATCAATCTCTTCATTCAGGTAAGGAAAATTTTTGATAGTATCTTATTGTATTTGTCTCCATAGACCAACTTTTCATTAAATCTCGCATCTATGCTCTCATAATACTTCCCATCTTCTGGTCTGAGAAACAAATATCCCATGGGAGTATACCCAATCATAATAACTCATCTACCTTCAGGTCTAAACTTTGGACCTGTTTTTCTCTGAACTTTGATGTAAGCTAGACTTCCAAACCTTTTGAGTTGTTTGATGTCAAAACTATGATTTGGAGCAAATTTTTCCAATGGGGTGATCCGGTTGTTTGATTTGTGAGGAGTTCTATTATACGCATAATTCCTCGCAGACAACGATAAATCCCAAAAATATTCACGTAATTTCGCGTCGTACATATAACCTCGAACCTTTTTCTGAACAGTTTGATTAAATCTTTCAGCAACCCCGTTGTGTTCGGGTGTATCAGGTGAGGCCAACTACAATTCTGCACCTAATTTTTCTAGCACTTCAACTGTTTTTCCCCCAGTAAATTCGGTTCCCTGATCACTTCAATTTCAGATGCTGATGAATTGAAATGCTGGTGAATTAGGACCCATAACATCTGCGTGAATAATTTGCAATGGAGCGCTAGCTCGTTTTCACATTGAAAGGATAAACAACTTATTGAATTTTTATATTGAGCAGACTTCACACTCTGATATTGACTCGTCAAATATCACGTCATTCAATTCTTTATTTTCAGGATATTTCAATTGCAATGCTTTGAGATATCCGATTGATGCATGGCCAAATCGACTGTGCCACAACATCGCTTTATTGCATTTGGTTGACTTATTGATTTCTACCTTGAAATTGATGTCTTCGTCAGTGCATTCAATAAATGGGAGTTCCTGAATGTTATGAATATCACGATCGCAAATCGAACTTATCAGATTCGAATGTTCGTATGGAATTTTTCTTTGTTCACTTTGGTTACTTATTTTTGGTCTCTCTTCAGGTACATTTGTTTTCTTATCATCACCATTTTCCACTTCAGAATTTCCTTTTTCCTTAACTAGATTTTCGTAATTGGACACTTCTTGTTTTTCTCTAGCAGCTGCACTTTGTGAAAGAAATTTCCGCTGCTCTAATTCCCTTTCTGCTAAGTTCGCGTATACTCGTTTATTCTGACTAATTGGTAGGTTCTCAAAACTAGAATTGCAGTTATCAATTTCCAATTCGATAATCCAATACGGTTGCTTGTATACTCCCGAGATAAATGACTCATTCGTCTTTGGGTCGAAAATGTCGATGTTTTTATTATCTAAATATATCGCAAATCCCAACTCAAATCTTCTCAATGATTACAGATTTTCTTTAAGTGCATCGGCAAAAATGACTCTGTCAATTTCAATTATTTTCCGTTCTTGAGTTCCTGTACCCATTCGCTCTGTTTTCAAGTCCGCTCCGGAATTTTTGTTTGCGCATCTTATTATTCCATGATTCATCTCTTTGAAAGTTTTAAAGACAATTTTCGATTTTGTCAAATGATCTGTCGCTCCAGAGTCCGCTATGAATTCAGTATTGACTCTATTTAATGTCATTAGGTTCACGTCATTTATATACATCGCCTCAAATTCAGACGCCTCATTGTTTGGACTTATGGAAGTGGTCGAAATAGTTTTAATTTTACTCAAATCGTTCTTACCTTAATTTTTGTGACCCTTGTTTCTCTCGGATGTATTTCCTGAGGAATGATTATTTCCTTTCTTGTTTTGGCTTGTTGAATTTCCCTTGTATTGATTCCCATTCTTAACTCCTCTGTAATTCATTCTGTTTTGCCCCTTGAACCCATCATATTTGTCTCTCTTAGGATTACTTGTGTTTCCTCCACTCATATACCTTTTGATGCCACCTTTTGATCTTAAACCTCGTCTTGAAGATTGAAGCGTATTACCATACCTCGACTCCATTCCATAATTTCCTCTGTGCTTCTTAATCGTTGAGCCAGATGCCTCGTTTGGGTATTCTGCTGCTACGTGGTCCCCATAAGTTTGACACTTGTAGCAGACGATTTTACCATATTTTGGACATTCTTTGCCTATATGCCTATTTGCCCCACACTTGAAGCATCGAGTGCCCTCTGCTTTCTTAGCCACATTTGCGGCCCTAATCCCTGATTTTTCCCACACAAATTGTTTTCTCGTTGCTTCCTCCTGCATCACTGCCAGTTTTAACTCTTCATAAGGAATGCTCTGGCTCTTGGTATTTTTTTATATAAACTCAAGAGTTTGTACAAATAGTACAGCCAGCATTACTGTATTGTAAAATGCGTCTCTTTTCTCGTCTTCTGACCAGGCAGTTACACCTGCGGAGTTTTCATAATTTCTTATCGTTTCTTCAAATTTCTCGCAAAATTCAGCTGCTTTCTGTTTACTAATATTATACTGCATGCTATAAATATCTTTTCTGACCGAATGTGATGTTACGTTAATTTCTGCTCTTTTAATTTCTTTCAGTTTTTTAACTATTTCACAAGGATCTTTCAATGACATGACTTTCGAGTAATAATTACGATTGAGACAGTTTATCAAATGTCTGTAGCTTTAAATTTGTGATCTTCAAACATCTTTTTATCCCCGTCAAATTTTATACTCTCATCAATGACATGTAGCAAAACGCGTGATCTTAGTTCTGAAAAAAAGTAGTCGTAAAAATACTCGAATTTAGTTTCTTTATCAAGTTTATAATCTCTCTGAACATTTTCATTTCTGTTAACAAATTCAACTTTGAATTTCTCTCCAAGTACCACTTCGCCCTTTGAAAGTTGTAACGAGATTTTCTCGTTACGGGTTGAAATCCCCTTAAAAAGATACGTGAACTCTAAAATTGAGACATGAGGCGACACCTAGAGGCGGCTGAAGAAAGCCGCGACTAGATGAACTGAGCGACAAACCGATGAAAGACCTAAGGCATAGCGGTTATGGGTGAAATCGCGACCCCTGGAGGTCTGGAGGACGTTACTAGACTATCGCTATTTTGGAATTCGCCCAGCATGTGCTAGGGGAAAAGGGGCCAACGTACAGGCTGTCCAACTGGGCGATTCCATAGGCTATGTCAGAGTAGACTAGGGACCAACGGCCAGGTGAGAGGACTGGTGCCCCCGGGATCCCGTCGGGTTGATTGGTGGGGATAGGGTAACGGAATGACCTATCGTCGCTGAGATATCCAGACTAGGGGGAGAAGGCCCTAGTAAGATTCTGAGTTAGTCGAACGCGGACGCTCGAGCGGGGAAGTCGAAAGGATTTCTCCGAGATATACTGTGGTGTTGGCTTGAAAGATGGCCACGGGAATGGTGGGCGAATAGCTCAGCGCAGCCAGGTGCATAACTGATGGTAGCGAGCGTAGGGGGATGCNACCCTGAAAAGGGGTAAGTAGAAAATTATCGCATAGATAATACGAGGAGAATCGAGAAAATTGATTCCCCCTCGAAGGTAACGAATTTGATTTATTCCTTGGAAAAGGGAAAAATAGAATTCGAAATGCACGAAATTTTTGTCAGGGGGAGATTTTCTCAGAAACTCGATGTTCTGTCTCCTCGACACCTGGGGGAGATGACCTTGAGAAAACGAGTTTGTTATCCCCGACGAAAATTCGAAAGTATTGATTTTCCGCTTGGGAGGGGTTATTCCGGCTGCTCTGAGTGCTGTTCTCCTCGCCACCCGGGGGAGGATGGTCTTAGGTGCGGGNAATGGAGTAGAAAGAAAACCCTGAAAAGGGGTAAGTAGAAAATTATCGCATAGATAATACGAGGAGAATCGAGAAAATTGATTCCCCCTCGAAGGTAACGAATTTGATTTATTCCTTGGAAAAGGGAAAAATAGAATTCGAAATGCACGAAATTTTTGTCAGGGGGAGATTTTCTCAGAAACTCGATGTTCTGTCTCCTCGACACCTGGGGGAGATGACCTTGAGAAAACGAGTTTGTTATCCCCGACGAAAATTCGAAAGTATTGATTTTCCGCTTGGGAGGGGTTATTCCGGCTGCTCTGAGTGCTGTTCTCCTCGCCACCCGGGGGAGGATGGTCTTAGGTGCGGGGCATTTCCTTCCTTCGACCGAAAAATCGAAAGAAGTGGATGAAAAACAGAGAAAATTCTGCAAAATTGAATTTTTCGCTCATAATTTTGCCAAAAATGCTGAAAGAAGCATTTACCGACGCCCGGTAAAGAAGACTATTCTGAAAAGAATAGCATTACCGACTGCAGGTGTCGGAAGTACAAGTTCCGCCCGCGAGGGTGAGCCACGTGACGGACAAGTCGCGCGGAAAAACGAAATTGACACCTCTGATTGATATCAATCAAGGGTGTGCAAAAGGACTACCTAAATATGGAAATTTAGGTCGGAGTCTAGGTCACCAGGGGGGACCACCGGCGGCGATAAATCAAATTGATACGCGCCCTAATCTCCCCACCCCCAACACCAGTGAAATTGGGGGAAATGACCACGGGAAGCGTCCTTTCCCGTCTTGACCGCGTACGCGACAAGACGTGTGAATTTTTGACGCTCCCCGGAGACAATTACGACGCGAAGCAGCCCACGTGGTGAGATACCCGTGAGCAATGCAGGACAATACCCTGGATGAACTGGTGCAGAAGGTGGTGAAAACTGCCGAAGGAGCCCACAAAGGTAAGACGGACTCTCCGGAGTCCGAGGCGAACCTCCAGGGTGCAAAACCCCTGGCAGGAAAGGGAGCGGATGACCCTTCAGTACCGCAAGGCACTGAGGAAACCGCCCCATTTGATTTCACGTCCCTTTCTATTACAGATCGGGACCTGACGGAGGCAGAGCAGGCCGAGATGGCCTTGCTGCTGACAATGGACGAGGAGGGTGAAATCCCCTCACCGGAGTTTGAGCCTCTGGAGGCGGTGTCGCAAGTGGTAGAAATTACCACGACCGCTCCGTCTCCGGTCGCAGAGGCCACCCGGGCGAAAACCCCGGAGGAGAAGGACGCTTTGGCGAGGAGTTTGGCGGCCATACTGGTCGAGCACCCCGAGTTGATGGCAGCCATGTTTGCACAGTTGCCGCAATTCAACCCGGGGCCCTCCACGTCGGCTGTGCCGCCGCCTCCTCCCCAAGAGCATATGGAGGTAGAGGACGAGAAGTCCTCTTACGCTTGGGTGACAAAACACGGGCGAAAATCCCGTGAGCCGACCTCAAGGAAGAAAACCCCTGCAGCCCCAGCGCTGGTCCCTGAGGCCACGGAGAGGAGCTCCAAGGCCAAAGGGAAACTGCCGAAAGGCAGGAAGGAGAAGGGGGAGAAGACGCCAGGGCGAAAAACCCCTGAGAGGAGAGGCCCGGATGCTGAGGCGAGGGAGGTTTACTCCCAGATCCTTCAGCACGGAGGGGAGGGAGCCACAGAGGCAGTTGGGGTGAAAATCCCCAAACGTCAGACCTCTAAAGACGAGAGGATGGTCCAAGCGTCTCCTCTCGTCGACAGCACCCCGGATCCGGAGGAGACACGCAGGGCGGCCAAACCTCTCCCGATTCCCGCACGTCTGTGTTGGAATTGCAGGAGGGAGGGGCATGAGAGCAGAGAGTGTTCTGCCCCGTATAGGCCGCACTGCAAGAAGTGCGGAGTACCGTGCCCTGGGCCGTACTGCAAGTCCTGTGCTGAAAAGTACAGGACCCAAGGACCTTGGTGTCCGGCGTACGGACAAAACATCCCCAGGGCGGACTTGAGGAGGCTGCAAAAGCAGCTGAAGACGGAGAGGAGGGTCGAAACGACAGTGAGTGTCGCAACGCCCCCCCCCCTCTGAGACCGCCTCACGCACACCCAGGAGGAGGGCCGAGACACGCCCCCAGCCGAGGCGAAGGGAACGCCCCACTTATGTGGTGCAGGGGGAACGACCCCTAAATCCTGCCGAGAGGGTTGAAAAACACCCCACCGGGCAAACCCGGGAGTGGAGGGTCAGGCCCTGTAAACTCCGGAGAAAGGAGAGGAGGAACCTGGAGCGGGCTGCGAAGCTCGCCCTCCAGGAAGAGGCTGGCAAAGAGGGTGCAATCCCCTCCGAGGAGGAAGCCATGGAGGAATGCCTCTAGGCGAGTGGGTGGAAAACCCCACGGATGATTTTTGGGAAATTGGTATTTCCTAAAAATGCAAGAAAGTCCTCGGTTTGGAAAATGACCAGGAGACAGACACGTCGGTAAGCCCGCCAGAAAGGCACAACCGACGAAGGAGAGGGGCGAAAGCCCCAAAACAAATAACTATTCACACATGCATGCAAATTGGGTAGTAGGCGCCATCTAGCGCCTCCCCGATCAGAGTAACAACTGTCGGTAACCCACCACAGTTGAATGGCAGTCGGTAAGATAGGAATCTTCCTTGCCGGCTGATGGAACTAGTATCGGTTGGTGAGAAATGCCACTAGATGGCGCCACCTCAGTCGAAAAACACTGAAAATGCCGAGAAAGGTTCTTTTAGTTGGGAAAACACCCCCCAGTACCGCCAAAGGCGGGAAGCGAGTATTTTTTCAAATACAGAAAGGGGAAAAGCCCAATAAAAGAGTGAGGTAGAGGGAAAAGTGCCTGCAAAGACATGAAATACCTCCAGAAATGTCCGTAACCGTCCGAAAGGACGGGAAAAGATCGGGACAAAATAGAGAATCGCCCAGAACTAGTGAGTTTTCGTTCAGAAATACTCACTAGATGATCCTGGGGATTTATAGGGGTTTTTTCTGGATAAGGAAAATTCCCCAAAGAGCCTCCGGAGTAGCCGCCGACCCAAAGAAGGGGGCGCCACATACTCGGAGAAGGAACAAGAGTAGGGAGGACCCCCCACTCTGTACTGCAGAGTATAAAAGGAGCTGCAGAGCTCCCAGAAAACTCTTTTCTGTCGTAAAGGCAGAGGTTGAATAAGCCTCCTGACTTTACGGAAGACTCCCTGGGCTAGAAATGGCACCAAAGAAGGATTTGCTGGATAAGCAAACGGAAGGGGGAGACGAGGAGAAAACCCCTGAGACCTCGGTAGGACCGAAAGGTTCAGAAATGGATCCCGAAAAGGGAGCCAAAAAGAAAACGCAGAGAAAACGCACTGGAGAAGTGACGACCTCGGAAAGCAGTGGTGGAGAATCCGAGGCTGAAAAAGTCTCGAGATCAAAACCCGAGAAAAAGGGCCCCCTCTCGGAGGAGGAGAGGGCTAAAAGGCCGATCAGTCCACTGGCG